GTTGGCATGCATCAGGCAGCCTAATTATTTGATAAGGCTGCCTAATGCTCTAAATGATTTTCTTAAACACACACTGGCACTGCTGGGGTACCAGTAATGTTTCCTGAAGGGTTGTGGAAATGGAAGCTTCAACATACTAACTCATACTTTACACACACAGAGACACGCACACATAGAAATACATACAAATGGAAATATGCACAACCAGAATTATAAACACTCATACATACAACAAGTCCTCATTCATGCCTGTAAGTTTAGGTGTGATTAGGGATTCCTGCGTCAGGAACTTGCGTTCTCCTGCAGCAGGAATCTCTAATCCCTAAGCGGCTGTCACCTGACTAATAGCTTCAACGGGTGACAGCTGCCTCTTGTACACACATTAGGGATTCCTGCTGCTGGAAAACGCAAATTCCTGAAACAAATCCTTAAAAAGCACCTAAACTTACAGTTGTGAATATGCGCCCCCCCTGTTCCCTGCTCCCCCTGTTCCCTGCCCCCCCCCAAAATAATATGCTCCCCGTTTCCCGCTCCCCCACACATTAAATAATATGCTCCCCCTGTTACCTGCCCCCCCATAAAATAAACCCCCCACTATCCGCACACACACAAATAGAACAAAGAGCCCCCTCTCCTGCTTACACTTTTGCGTGGGAGGAGGCACATCACTACCTGGTGATCCAGTGGTTGATTAGTAATAAGATCTGGTGCAGGCCTCACTATTCCATCCTTTCAGCCGGCGCTCAGAGCTGCGGACAAAAGGAACCGAGGGCCGGCACGGCCAGCTTCAGCTATGCGGTCTGCATCTGCTCACAAAAGTCACGTACGCGGTCTTCCTCCTTCAGGGCCCATTCACACCACATCCAGATTACCTTCAGACCAGACTGGTTCCGGACCCAAGATGCATCCTAATGTATCCCTATGCTATTTCTGGCCTCTGTTCCTACCAGAACAGTCCGTTCCAGACCAGAAAAATACTGCTTGTCCTATTTAGTCTAGTCTGGAATGCATCAGAAACGCATGGAACGCACCTATAAGACCATTATAAGCTTAAAAAAATCCCATCGCGGTAAAAATGCAATGCACCATGTTCCAGATCTGGTCCGGGAAATGGTGAGAACCTGCCCTCAGGCAAGACGTGATACAGTGCAAGTGAGAACACATTTAAATACACGAGAACCTATGACAACTCCAAGCCACCCCTTAAGACTTCACACTGACGTGCCCCCTAGCATGTACAGCGACCCGCTCTATGGAATGCTGTCTGTCTACAAAAAATGGGTGGCCAGCAAGTAGTTAGAGGGCGCCATGACTGAAAAACGGTTGTGTAATGCTTCCTTAGAGGTCCCAGTCAGATGGGGGTTTCCATTTTATCACATTGCACATACATTGGACAAAGCGTGGCAGGGTCAGTACACAATACAGACACGTCCCCTTCACAAGTTCCATAGAAAAAGATTTCATTTATTGCTGTTTTAACAACTGTGACAAATCCCTGAGATAAAAAAACACACAATGACATAAAACAGAGGTAAAGATTCTTTGTGTGGGGGTGCTCCTGTCTGTGCCCCTCTTACCACCATTCCAGCAGCAGACATATTACACACAATATACACTCACTGGCCGCTTTATTAGGTACACCTCTACAACTGCTCCTTTACACAAATATCTAATCGGCCAATCACATGGCAGTAACTCATGTAGACATGGTCAGGATGGTCTGCTGAAGTTCCAACCGAGCATCAGAATGGGGAAGAAAGGGGATGTAAGTGACTTTGTACATGGCATGGTTGTTGGTGCCAGACGGGCTGGTCTGAGTATTTCAGCAACTGCTGATCTACTGGGATTGGTTCCTGGTGTTGACAGCAGGGATGCACCGATACCGGTTTTTCGGTATCGAGTACCAATACCTTGCTTACGGTACTTGTCAATACGGAGTACCAATACCGGGGCTTCCACTGGCATGGAGCCGGCTTCCCGGTCAATATTTTAGGGACATTAATCACTGATAACACTAAACTGATGAGCGATAAAAGCGTTTAAAGTGTCGCCTATGGCCAATTTTGGGTGTGCTTGTTTTCTGCGATTTTGCAGGCGTGCGCAATTTCACGGCTTGACATGTATGGTGTCTATTTACCCGACGTGACCCCGTCTTTTATATTTTACCCCAAAAATTGGGGTGATAATAAATGTTTCATAACATTTCATAAGGAAACTGGGTTTTTTTCAAAATTTAGGGTACTTTTTTTGTTATATAGTAAAAAGTAAAAACGCCAGTGGTGATTAAATACCACCAAAAGAAAGCTCTATCTGTCCCCAAAAAATGGTATAAAATTAATTTCAGTACTGAAAATGGTCTGGGCAGGAAGGGGGTGTAACACCGCGGTCTTCAAGCGGTTAATGAAATGTCACTTGTGACATTTCAATAAAGTTCTAACGAGCAGAAAAAGCAGTGCGATCTTGATTAAGTGCATGGGCACTGTCCAGGCACACGCACACCAGGAATGCTCAACCGTACCACTGCTGGTGTGAACAAGATATTATAGGCAAACTACTTAAATAGGCCCCGGAAGCTGGGCACTGCCATGGAGGACATGTACCAATGCATGAAAAAGGGGTACAGAAGGGAGCGGGTCTTTTCATGCACCTTTCAGGGCAACATTGTGCAATTTTCACAGACAGTCTCAGTGACGGTGTACGCCGGCAGCACATATGTGGCCGTGGAATTGATTTCTTTCTTCTACAATTGTCGTGGCGCACATACAGCAGCAGCACCCCAATCTGATTCATTTTGGTTTGATAAAAAGTCTTCTTTCCAGGTAGCTTTAGCAGCAGCAGCTTGTATATGAAATGGCATCAGATATGAACCATCGGTAATGGTGAGCCTAAACCTGATCTCTAGTTAGGGAAAGTCCAAGCAAGATATTGGCTCCATCCTGGCGCAGCATTGTGATCTCTCACTCGGTTGTATGGTGAGCTGTAGTTGAAACGGTCCATTCTGGAGAACTGATCATATCCAATGAATCCACAATCACCTGGGCCACGTGCCATTGGGATCTTTAAGCCCTCGTTCACACCTGAACGTTTTGTAGCGTGTTCTACGCTCGGCGAGCGCTCTACAAAACGCTCAAAAATATCAATCCCATTGTATTCAATGGGTCTCGTTCCCACCTTGGCGTATTTCCGCCCGTCCCTAACGCGCTACAAAACGGCCCACGCCTGAAAAGGTACAAGTACTACTTTGGGCCGTTTTGTTGCGCGTTTCCATTGGGATACAGCCAAGTAGCCTTCGGAAACGCGTGACCGCCACGCGACTTTTTTGATCGCGAATCGCGGTAAAAAACCGTGCGACAGACGCGCATATGCAATACGCCAAGGTGTGAACGAGACCTCACTCGGTTGTATGGTGAGCTGTAGTTGAAACGGTCCATTCTGGAGAACTGGTCATATCTAATGCATTTCACAATCACCTGGGCCATGTGCCATTGGGATCTTTCACTCGGTTGTATGGTGAGCTGTAGAATTTTTGTATTCTGGAGAACTGTTAATATCCAATGAATTCCACAATCACCGGGAGCCGCACTTTATCTTTAAACACTGTGCTACTGATGCTATAATGACAGAGAAAGAGGTGAACACACGTAGAGGAATGCTAATGGTAGAAGTAGGAGGAAGGCGTTCCACTGATAGACAATTCATTGTTCCGGTCTTCATACTTCCTTTGTCTAGAAGCAGATTTTGAGATTTCTGTTCAGGGAACATTCTGATCTCTCGTGATCTTCTCAATCTTCTGAATGTCTTTTACTCTTCTGTGTTCTGGAGTATTCCGGCTTCTGCCACCATCTTGAAGAAGACTCCTTTCTTCTGTATCAGTCGCTGGGGCTCATCGAACTCCACAACTCTGCCGGCTTCCAGAACAAGCACCCTGCAGGAGATCGGATACTATTATAAGGGGAATGCATAGTAGGTTTGTACATTATTGATTATGGTCAAGGCTAAACATTAGCATTTCATTGTTTAATGTTCTGCTGCTTGGAAACCTTGGGTCTTGCCATTCATGTGGATGTTACTTTGACATGTACCCAGGGCCGGATTAACATAGGGGTGGGTGGAGCTCCCGCTCCAGGCCCCCCCCTGCCAATAGGCCGAGTTGACACGGGTTGCAGCCCGGCTTAGCTGACCTGGATCGCGGCCAGGACATGAAGAGCTGGCCCGGATCGCGGCCAGGCCGAGCTGACCATGCAGCCGCAGCCCTCTATTCAGGCATATCAGAGGGCCCTCTGATATGCCTGAGCAGAGAGCCGCATCTGCTGTGGCTGCAGTCGCCAGTCTCTCTGACCCCCCCTGGAGCCCACACTGACCCAACCCACCCTCCCCCTAGGGCCTGCACTGACTTCGCCTGGTGGCAAAAGGGGGACCTACTCATTATTAGGCGGGTGGTCAGAATATTATGGCTGATAAAGAATGTATAGATCAGCCCCATCGTGTATAGACATGTATAGATCAGCCCCATCGTGTATAGACATGTATAGATCAGCCCCATAGTGCATAGGCATGTATAGATCAGCCCCATAGTGTATAGGCATGTATAGATCAGCCCCATAGTGTATAGACATGTATAGATCAGCCCCATAGTGTATAGGCGTATAGGCATGTATAGATCAGCCCCATAGTGTATAGGCATGTATAGATCAGCCCCATAGTGTATAGACATGTATAGATCAGCCCCATAGTGTATAGACATGTATAGATCAACCCCATAGCGTATAAGCATGTATAGATCAACCCCCTATAGTGTATAGGCATGTATAGATCAGCCCCAGAGTATAAGCATGTATAGATCAGCCCCATAGTGTATAAGCATGTATAGATCAGCCCCATAGTGTATAAGCATGTATAGATCCATAGTGTATAGGCATGTCTAGATCAGCCCCATAGTGTATAGACATATATAGATCAGCCCCATAGTGTATAGGCATGTATAGATCAGCCCCATAATGTATAGACATGTATAGATCAGCCCCATAGTGTATAGACATGTATAGATCCATAGTGTATAGGCATGTCTAGATCAGCCCCATAGTGTATAGACATATATAGATCAGCCCCATAGTGTATAGACATGTATAGATCAGCCCCATAATGTATAGACATGTATAGATCAGCCCCATAGTGTATAGACATGTATAGATCAGCCCCATAGTGTATAGACATGTATAGATCAGCCCCATAGTGTATAGGCATGTATAGATCAGCCCCATAGTGTATAGGCATGTATAGATCAGCCCCATAGTGTATAGGCATGTATAGATCAGCCCCATAGTGTATAGGCATGTATAGATCAGCCCCATAGTGTATAGGCATGTATAGATCAGCCCCATAGTGTATAGGCATGTATAGATCAGCCCCATAGTGTATAGGCATGTATAGATCAGCCCCATAGTGTATAGGCATGTATAGATCAGCCCCATAGTGTATAGGCATGTATAGATCAGCCCCATAGTGTATAGGCATGTATAGATCAGCCCCATAGTGTATAGGCATGTATAGATCAGCCCCATAGTGTATAGGCATGTATAGATCAGCCCCATAGTGTATAGGCATGTATAGATCAGCCCCATAGTGTATAGGCATGTATAGATCAGCCCCATAGTGTATAGGCATGTATAGATCAGCCCCATAGTGTATAGGCATGTATAGATCAGCCCCATAGTGTATAGGCATGTATAGATCAGCCCCATAGTGTATAGGCATGTATAGATCAGCCCCATAGTGTATAGGCATGTATAGATCAGCCCCATAGTGTATAGGCATGTATAGATCAGCCCCATAGTGTATAGGCATGTATAGATCAGCCCCATAGTGTATAGGCATGTATAGATCAGCCCCATAGTGTATAGGCATGTATAGATCAGCCCCATAGTGTATAGGCATGTATAGATCAGCCCCATAGTGTATAGGCATGTATAGATCAGCCCCATAGTGTATAGGCATGTATAGATCAGCCCCATAGTGTATAGGCATGTATAGATCAGCCCCATAGTGTATAGGCATGTATAGATCAGCCCCATAGTGTATAGGCATGTATAGATCAGCCCCATAGTGTATAGGCATGTATAGATCAGCCCCATAGTGTATAGGCATGTATAGATCAGCCCCATAGTGTATAGGCATGTATAGATCAGCCCCATAGTGTATAGGCATGTATAGATCAGCCCCATAGTGTATAGGCATGTATAGATCAGCCCCATAGTGTATAGGCATGTATAGATCAGCCCCATAGTGTATAGGCATGTATAGATCAGCCCCATAGTGTATAGGCATGTATAGATCAGCCCCATAGTGTATAGGCATGTATAGATCAGCCCCATAGTGTATAGGCATGTATAGATCAGCCCCATAGTGTATAGGCATGTATAGATCAGCCCCATAGTGTATAGGCATGTATAGATCAGCCCCATAGTGTATAGGCATGTATAGATCAGCCCCATAGTGTATAGGCATGTATAGATCAGCCCCATAGTGTATAGGCATGTATAGATCAGCCCCATAGTGTATAGGCATGTATAGATCAGCCCCATAGTGTATAGGCATGTATAGATCAGCCCCATAGTGTATAGGCATGTATAGATCAGCCCCATAGTGTATAGGTATGTATAGATCAGCCCCATAGTGTATAGGTATGTATATTTTTCTTTCTGCTGGTTGGCAACCATTTCCAGCAGAAGCTGCACTGAAAAGAGCTGCAAGAAAATGATTTACCTTTCACTGTCCAAGACAGTGTGCAATCTGTGCGCTATGGTCAGTACAGTGCAATCAATGAACGCCTTGCGAATAGTGCTCTGCACCAGATTATCGGTTTCAATGTCAATAGAGGCCGTGGCTTCATCCAGAACCAGAATCTTTGTTTTCCGGAGCAAGGCTCGAGCAAGACAGATCAGCTGCCTCTGTCCAACGCTGCAATACAAACAATACAATTTACAGCTAATCTGTTAAAGTCTACAAATACATAAAGAATAAAATACATGGAGGGGAATTTTTCAAAACTGGAGCAAAAATACCCAACCGAGCCCATCCTTATAAAAGAGTAGCAGCACACTGATAAGTCATCCCTCTGCTCACTCTGCTCTTTCCTCCAATCATGTTCACTGCCAGCACAGGCGCAATACAGCCCCGCCTGAGTGGCTTCTTGTGCTGGTCCTGTGTCTGACTACATGAAATGGATCTAAACAAAGTCAGATATTCAGACTATTTGGACTTTTAAAAAAAATAATACATTGAGATTTGTATTCATTAAAAATGTAATTAACTGTATTTTTATCTGCCTGGAGTTCTGCCTTATAAAAGTACATTTATATTATTCATTTATTGAACCCTAAAGCTGGCCATACATCATAACTCCATTCCCCCATCCACACTAAGCCCTCATTCACACTAGAAACGGCCGGCACATACAGCTCCGTGCTGAGTGCACGGCCGTATCGTGCAGCTCCCGAGAAGGACAGGTGCTGCGTGTGATTAGTGCGCAGCCCCTGTCCTTCTCTATGGGAGTACGTGGCCGTATGCTGCCCTACGCTCACCTCAAGTGCAGGTCCATAGGGGTGTGTGTTTCCTGGCTCGGACGCAGACAGGATCCATCCTGTCAGCGTACAAATACGCTCACCCGCACGGATGTGCAGGGCGTGTGAGCGTAGGGCGGCGTAAGGCCGCGTAGTCCCATAGAGAAAGACAGGGGCTGCGTACTAATCACACGCAGCACCTGTCCTTCCCGGGAGTTGTCCGATACGGCCGTGCACGCAGCACGGCTTTTTCTAGTGTGAATGAGGGCTAAAGAGCGATAATGGGGGAATCTCCCCCTGCCAGCCATTGTATTCTGACAGCCAGTGCCCACAGCTGTCAGAATACTGGAATCTGATTGGATGCAGGCACTGTAAGGCTGATCATTTTCGCCTGAGCTCCTTCGACCTAAGTTCTATTGAAAATGGACTTTTGTAGAACAGTGTGGTGCCAGCAGGGATCGATCAATTTTTAAATGATTCTGCAGGAAATGGCCCAAATTCGATCTGTGTATGGCCAGCCTAACTCCAGCAAAATTAAAAGTGTGGGGATAGAAATTCTCTGTCAGATTTCTATTTCTGTCTGTGATCCCCAATGAGGCGATTTGACTTTGCTGAGGAAAAAAGTTCACAATCTGTGTTAATATTCTATATGCGTAAAATGCCGGGCTGCATGACGCGTAACCGCGCATGAAATTGTTCAGCACGTTATTTCCTGCTGATCTTCCATTTCATTTGAATAGGAAGTTCTCTGAAGGAAAGCACACGGGTACAGTACTTATTCACAAACTCCATGTAGTGTGAATGGAATGTACTAGACAGCTATAAAGCAGGGACGTGCGGTCAGGAGAGGCAGGTGAGGCAGAGCCTCACCTAGCATTATGGAGGATCTTCGAGTCTGAAGCAGACAGCTTTTTCTCCATTCAGATCGGCTTGTTACAGTTTACACAGCAGGGAAAGCCTCCCCGCTGTGTAACCTGTCATAGACGGAGCGCTGCCTGTTAATTACAGGCAGAGCTGCATCTGACTTTTGACAGCTAAGTTAGGTTACACAGTGTAACCTAACATAGTGAGGCAAGAGTTGTCACAGCTTCTACTCTGTGTTAGAGGCGTGAACTCTGCGGATGGTTTGGACCAATGGCAAAGCGCCATTGGTCCAAGCTGTCCAATCAAAAAAAAATTAAAGAAAAAAAGTGAGGACATCGATCTTGATGCCTCACCAGTGACGAGCAAGTGAAGGACAGGGAGGCTCATCCCTGTCTTCTCCCTTTCTCCTCCCCACAAAGCTTGGTTACCCAGTTGGGGGTGGGGCTTCGGTGGGATGGGACGAGACTTCGGCGGGCTGGGGGATGCCTCACCCAGCACAGAAGGCAGGACACGTCACTGTTATAAAGAGACCCAGTGCAGCCACGTTCTATATACCCTCTACTGCCCCCTGTGGATCAGCAAGGGAAATAATTACAAAGCTCACCTGAGGTTCTCTCCTCCCTCCGAGATGTCATGGTACAGTTTCTTGGGAAGACACTGCACAAAGTCCTTGAGATGACACATGTCCAGAGCATCCCAGAGCTCTGTATCTGAATGTCTGTCTAAGGGATCCAGATTCATCCGCAGCGTTTCTGAGAATAACACTGGATCCTGGGATCAAACAGCACAATAAGGAAGTGACCTATAAATGTCCTAAACTGGAATTTGCATAATAAAACGGAGTAGGTGTGGCCTAAAGTGTACGACTGTACTTTATTTTTAAAGAATTCACTAAACACTAAGAAGGGAATTTATCAAAACTGGAATCTGGAGCAGTTGCACAGGGTAACCAATCAGCTTCTATCTTTCATTTTCAAAGCTGAACGGAACAAATTGAAGAGAGAAGCTGATTGGTTGCTATGGACAACGGCCCCAGATTCTGCATGCTCCAGTTTTGATAAATTCCACCCATACGTGAAACTTTCTTGCACTGGCAGTTTGCCATATGCACTCCCACAGTCCTGATTTACAGCCCAGTCACACCATCAAGAGTGCGTTGCAGTGTGTTCGGCCTCTGGAACGCAACCCGGCCAGCTCAGTTTTTTTGGGGGGTGGGAGGGGGCGTGGAGGTGCATTGAACTCAATGGTGCGATCGCCGGCACCCAAATGCGTGGCACATTACTGCCTGCGTTCCGGTCCAGTGCGATCTGCAAAAAAATGCTGCAAACACTATTTTTAACGGACCGGACCGCAGGCATAATGTGCCTTGCAATCCCGTGCGGCCGATCGCATTGCGGCCAGAGGGCGTGGCTACAGTGCCATTCACTTCAATGGACTGCCACGCCCCCTCCTACCCCACAACATAGTGAGCCGGCTGCAATGCAGTACATTCGGGCCAGAATCGGGCCGGATCCAGCGGCGTATTTAACTTTGCTGCTGCCCTAGGCAAGGCAGCAACGCCGCCCTCAGCGAATCTGCCGCTCCAGGCAAACGCCTTGTTTGCCTCGCGGCAGATACGCCCCTGGCCGGATCGCACTGCGTCTGGTGTGAACGAGGCCTTAAACATTGGGGTAATTTATAAAAACGAATGTATCAAATGTTTACCAGCAACCAATAGCAACCCAAATAGTTTTTAATCCAGTTTAGGAAGAAAAGCAAACATCCGGATTGGTGGTTATAATGTTTATTCTTTGCTTCTTTTCTTGCTTTACATATAGGATGACTTCAATCTCTCTATTATAGACTCACCTGAGGTATGATGTTAAGTTTGTTCCTCAGATCATGGAGGCCAATAGTAGCAATGTCAATCCCGTCCACCACGACCCGGCCTCCTGCCCTCTCCACAATACGGAATAAGCAGTTTGAGAGTGTAGATTTCCCAGCTCCTGTTCTCCCAACAATGCCAAGCTGAAAAAGACAATATGGTGAACTTTCTGCACAGGTAAGGGGGAGCTGAAAGGTCTATAGCAGACAGCAAAGACGATGCAGTTGCACATTCATTAAATTCCAATAGCGAGAGCATTGCATATGAAACTGAAGAGCCCATAGGAAGCACCTAGCCATATCCAAAGGGGTTATTCACTCAGCTGCCAAAGGCAGCTGAGTGAATAACTGAGCCGAAATGAAGTGAGCCGAACGCCGTTCGGCTATTCATTGCAGCCTTGTACGGCTGATTTCAGCCATACATCAGTTGGCTTCGGCTGCTGTCGGTTCAGCCGAACATGCAGACCCTTTAGCTCTGGTTGGAAAGTTAGCAGGGACGTCACGGCTGAGTCCGCCCTATTGGTTTTGATTTGGCCAGGACCTGCGGGAAGAGCGTGACAGGTGCCGGACTAATGTAAACAGTTAGGCGGAGCTAGCAGTGATGTTACCGCTAGCTCCACCCAATTGTTTATATTTTGCTGGTATCTATCAGAATGTCATTTTGCGGCGGGAGTTGTCGCGTGCGGACGTGTGGGCAGGCGTCGTTTTTTTAAATATTTCAACGAGTCGGTGTTGTCGTTGACGACGCCTGACGTTGTGATTGACCCGGTGGATCATTGAAAAAAAAAATTTGGGTGTTTTTTTTTATTTTTTTATTAAAAGGACTTGTCAAAAACCTTTGTTTATTTTTTCAATTAAAGGTTTTTTTGTGGTCTATTTACTTGTTACTTTTAACCCTTTAGTTACTTTTAACCCTTTAGTGAATGAGTAGGGGTACAAGTACCCCTGACTCATTCACAAGGGGGGGCAGCATCTGGGTACCCCGATGCAGATATGCCCCCCTGCCCTCAGATCCCCACAACCAATGAGTGAGGGCTTGTGGGGAAGAGGCCCTTGTCCCCATCGGCATAGGGGGCAAGGTGCTTTTCTAAGGGGGTACCCTGGCAAGGCAGCCTCCTAATGCCGAGGGTATGTTGCCTGATATGGTGCACGGAGAGAGCGGGGGGGGCGCTCACTTGTCCCCCCATCTTTTCTGCCCTGCCAGGCCTGTGCTGAGATTAAGGTT